AAAACGTTTAAGTTAAGTAAAGGCAATGTTTAAGTTGAAAGCATACTCATTTATCATTACATTCTAGGATTATCAACGGGAGAAGTTAAGACACACTGTTAAGCAGTTATACGTTATTGTAGACGCTGTTTGTACATGCTAAGAGCCGTTGTATGCACATGTAAACGTGTCAGTAGATGCTGTGCATTTATTATGTTATTTGTGTTTCTATAGTTTTACGTCATTCCACGGCCAGCAGTAAAGTGTAAAAGTCCATTGGTTGTCTGTGGTCTGTGGGAGACGTTATCTGTCTGTCGAGTCAAACAAGGTCTTTTGACATAGAGGACAGAACAGTGTTTCATCACTTGTTAGTGGCACTAGAAGTGTTTGATGAATTTATGATCTAACATTTTATCCATCTGATTCACAGTGTATGGAGTAGCAATGCACATTCCAGTATAACACTGTTACAAGTCACAACCTGAAAAAATAGAGTTGAATCAACTACTAAGAAAGGTAAGATTAATACAAGAGTGCTGAACTTCATCTACAGGCATTCACTTTTTTGGTCACTCAGTGTACATCAGTACTGGTACTGTAAATGTCTGTGATCAGACTAATACTACAATGATGGGGACTTTAGCTCAGAAGCGATTAAACATACAGGTCATATTAGGTGAAACTGCTTTGTGTACTTAGACTCACTATGGGCCAACTGCAAGTCATACAAACATAAAGGCCGAGTTTACAATGCAAATTGTGACCAAATACAGTCACCACTCTGAACGGCGGGTCTGTCCTTTCACTCTGTAGCATAGGACAGACCTTTGTCTGTATTCACTTTGTGTACCAAGGCCCAGGTACTGGTGCCTGTCTTACACATACATGAAACACAGCCAGCCTTAATGTTATGGACTTTTTCTACAGTGAGAATGTGTGGTGTTAAAGGCTTGCAGGTTCCAGACACTGGGCTGCTTAAATATCAAATTTATTGAAATATCAAATAACACCAAGTTCAAAACAGATAAAATATAAGTGCATCTGTATCGTTTGACAGAGGGATAGTTTTCAATTTTGCAGCCCTTGTCTCATCCAGCCCTTTGAAGGAAGCCATTTGTGCTTTGCTGTCCACTGATGCAGGTTTTACCATGCGATTTTCGTGCTGACGGT